AGATAATTTTTAAAAAGAGAATATCGGACAAACTTACTTGGTTTAATCTAGGCTAAGTTGCATTGTGCGATTACGAAACAGATCAACTTTAGAGACCTTATCCTTCGATTCTGAATTTTGGCTAAGGATTTCTTGAAGAAGTGAAATCTTTTGATGAAAATTATTTTTTGATCTCCTTAATCGTGTTGAAGCATAAATTTTTTTTAGGTTTAAAACGTAATAAGAATTTCAATATAGAGATTTTTGAATGGAAATCCTTCTTGTCTCTTATACTATCGCCTCTTTTTATTCTTTTAGAGATAAATCCCTAGGATTCTAAGGTACTGCATAAAGCGAGTGAATATCCAATGGATTCTTATCCTTCTAAATAAAGGAAAAGAAAGAAAAAGAAGAAGTCTATATAACCTTTGGGCTAATCAAACTATTAGGTTTTGAAACCAACGTCATAACCTTTTTTGTTGGATGATCGGTAGGTTTCAAAACCATTGTCACAACCCTCTTTACCAGTTGATACACTTTTTGAGTTAACTCCTCTTGTGTTAAGTCTTCTAATGAAGAAGGAGACAAAGTAATTTTCCATTTCTTCAAAGTATCCTTCTTTGACATGGTCGCTTTAAAAGGTAAATCGAGTCGAGAAAATAGTTTGTAAAAATTTTGATGATAACAAAAGGTGGGAAGACTTATATCTTTTTCGGATGGTTTGCTTTTACTTTATGGCGATCTTTCCATTATTAACATTACATACCATTGTCTTGAAATAATTTTTATCCGTCTATCACAAAAAAGTTATTTTCCTAAAATATTGACCATATTATAGTGAAACAAGAAGTTACTTCAACGTTTGGATAATAGTCATTAGTGTTATGCATATTGGCATAAGCCATTAATTCATTTTTAGCAAGCTACTCTATGGAATCTCGAATGTCTTTTCTCTTATTCCATGGCTGATTAATAGTCAAAACCAATAGACTCGCCATCGCTTGGATTAGTCTAAATTATTGAGCATAGAGGTTAGGGTTATAGGCTTCGGCGAATACCAAATCTCTAAGAGAGTAAGTCAAGTCTCGACTTACTAAGACTACACTCTAGATTAATTGTTTGGTAACGGAAAATTATACATGTCAGATTAATTTTTTTGTGCGAAACCATAGCGACCCATAATCGTATGCGTGAAATGGCGTCCAATCTTCTAATGCATCTCATTTATGCTCGGGGTCGAGGATGTACCTTAAAAAATTCAAAAGAGTTAGAAATTGATATGATACCTCATCTATAAAAGAGTAAATGTAACTATCTAGGTCTTCTTCAATGGATCGAGGTCGACCCAAAACTAAAAAGTAGAACTTACCTCACATCCGAACAAACCAAAGAGGATAAGAGAAAGTCTTGAGCCTTTTGGTTGATGCATCATTAAGTCCGAGCATATGCTCATGCAAGAAGAATTACGCCCATAGCAACTCGACTCAAGTGAAACTAAGTTGACAACCCAAGGCGAGAAAGGCTTTAATTAGCATTTTTGATTTCGAGCCAATGATATATTTATAAATTCATATTAAATAGAAGTCAATCTCCTCATGACGAGATATTTTTGTCCTCTCTTCACAGTGATTGACCAAGTATCCGTAAGCTTTAAAAAGTCTATTCTCCTAGACCTTGAGGTCTACACCATTTGCCTTGAAAGCCAAAGTTTTTCCAATTGGCTATGAACAGATAATAACCATGACATCAAGTAAAGTCATTGACATGTATCTCTCTGAAAATTAAAATTTGGCCGATGCAGGGATTCTAAAAGGTGACCATTGCAGTCACTAAACCAAGATTTACAATATAAGAGTGGGTGGATATAAGAATGGCCTCGTGAGTTCCCATCGCATCCCATTTGTTGCTTAATTATAGGATAAGTCTGTTTGGCCAAACAGCAAGAAAAGCCACAGATGAAGATGGTCAAACTAACAAATTGACACGGGGCCTAAGGAGTATAGTTGACTTTCAATGGTAGCCAAACTTCGAGACTTTCTTTTCTCATGGGATTTGAGAGATTCCTAACCACAAACAGTGATGCTTTTGGGACTTAAATTTCCAACAGAATCGACAAGAAATATTTCAACTAGTGCTATTTGGTCTTTAACCTTTCTTGTTTATCTAATATTTTGTTGTCAAACTTGATGGCCCTTTCAAACAGTTTATAGTGTAACATTGGTCTATAAATTCAGAGGCAGAATGCATCGGATCATAGGAGGACGCAAGATGCCTTGCTTACTCCATTCAACTTGATGGGATGGGATGGGCCACATGCTCTAATTTGTCCTATTTATTAAGAAGGAATCCTCATTAAAATATAATTAGTACTTTAACCTTATCTATGCTTAGTTTAACATGACAAAGCAAAACCTAGATATTAATTCTCGTCCAAGTAAATACTCAACAGCAAAATATCTTCCACAGTAATGAAAAAAAGAAATCAAACTTTGTTGAATCAACACCACAGATGAAATCTACGTCAAAGCCCTCTATTAAATTAAGGAAAGTTATCACCCAAGGTCCAAAACCATATAAAGCCAAGCTGGTGGACTTCTTTTAACTTATTTTATGCTAAATTCTAGTGGGGTTTTGTTTTACATCAACCATATAATTTTAACTTAGAAAAACATTTGGTCCATTCAAAACCACATTTTAACTCTCTTTTATGGCTATCTTTATTTGTTCATGTTCATTTCATCTAGCCATAATGCCATACCTTTTATATTCAATGAGGGCAGCTATGTCAGTATGGAGTATGGACTCTACAAATTGATATGTGACAGGCGACAGGTGACTGGTGAGGTGACCTTATTTGCTAGCCATGTAACGATATGTGGTAGAAAGGAAAAGTAGCCCATAATAAAGGCGATAAACCTCCCCACGTTTCATTCTCTTCCTAATCAATAACTCCATGAAATTGAGCTGGTACACGTACAAACTAACTAGGGATTCCATTTATGTTATTATTATTATTATTAGCGACTGTTGAAAGCTTATTAACAACAAAACCTAAAACAAATGGACTAATTACCATCACCTACATTCATGTGTGTTATTCGCTTGACATTGTTGCAATTTTTTCATGTGCTCTATTCACTAGGCATTGCTTTAATTTTTGCTTTTTGATTACACATTTATTATGGTATTATTGTGATTTTCAGTTTTTGTTCAACCATTTAATATGAAGTTCTAACAAATATTGTATTTTTGTTTTTGAATATTTTAAACTTTTGTTTCGATTTTCAATTTTATTTATATTGTAATTTAATCTCACATATAGACAGAAAAGAAAAGAAAAAATACGATGACGAAAGCCATTTCATTTACTTTAATTGTCGATTTTGATTTTAATTTGTTAGCTTTAAAGATGAGAATTTGTTTGTGATGGTTCCAAACAATGAAATGATGGAAGAAAGGAGATCATACTCCAAAATATTCAGTTAAATTTTTAAATTTAATGTGAATTTTTGAGTAAAAATATTTTTTGAATTTGAGAGTGATAATTAAAAGTAAAAGTGAAAATAAAAAATAATTGTTCTATGTGTGAAGTCTATGCATGGTTTAGAAACAAAGCATAAAATAAGAAGGGAAAAAAAATCTAAATGTTTTATTTACTTCTTTTTATATAATTAAAATTTATCAAAATCAATTTTTTAGGTGTGTTTTTTTTAATTAAAAATTGACTATCCATATACACACAAAATATTTAATATTTACTTTTTTATATTAAGATTAATTTTCTTCAAGTAAAATAATTAAAATTATGTTTAAAAGAAACACTCAATGGTATCATACCTTTCAAATAGATTTTTTAATATTAATATTATTGATTATTTTGAATATATAAACCTAATATGCATATTTTATATAAAAAAAATCTTCATTTCAATATTCAATAAGAATAAAATTTTATTTTAATTTTTTTAATTTTTATGTAATTTTTTAATATTAATTGTTGTTTTATTTTTTCAATACAATATTATAAAAAAATTGAATTTACAATTATTTTTTTTGAAGTATTTATTAATTGAAACTTATATTTTAGATTATTATAAATTTTTATTTAAGAATTCATACCTAAAGAAAAAAAAATTATGTTTATATATATATATATATATATATATATATATATATATATATATAAGAAGAAAACCTATTAAAAAATAACATGAAAAATATTTAAAAAAAAACATAAGAAAAAATTAATTAAGTACAAAATTTTGATTGAAAATAATAAAATTAAATTAGCTTTTTAAATTTTTTTTCTTTTAATTTCAACATATTTTTAATAAACTCATAGCATAACGAAAAACATTGAATTATAATGAATTTTTTTAAAAAAATTATTTTGCATCCTTAAACCTTTTCGTGTAAGCCAAAATGCAACCATTGCCCGCATAAGTCAGCATTACCCCTTTTGTATTTGGTCAGGACTCAGGGTTTGAATTCAAGGATCTGGGTTAAATTTTTTTAATATTTTATCTGGGTTAAAAATCATAAAATTATTGAAACAAAAGTGGCTTATACTTAATAGAATGTGGAATGGCAAATCTCCTGTCACTTCCACGCCAAATAAAAATGGTAACCATTGTCAATCCCACTCTGAAAAATTTGACAAAAATGGTAACAACTATCAATCCCATCCCTCTCTTTGCCAAATTGAGAATAGCAACCTGAGAACGTTATTAGCGGCACACAGAAACACACATTTCCAATGGGTAAATAAGGAAAAATATTAATGAACAAATAGCAGGAAGTAAATATAATATATTACCAAAGAACCAAATACCATCTCATGTACACACCACGTCAAAGCAGAGCTATAAAACATCTCACCTAGTCCCCCCAAAAGAAATTGACATAATAATTAATTACTCCAAAACTATAACTTGTATATGGCTATAGACATTTAATTCATCCTAAACAAGAGAGAGAGAGAGAGAGAGAGAAAAAAGAAAAAGAGTTAGTAGGGAATGAAATCAAAGGCTCTGATCTCTGCTCAATCTGCAGATCCCAAGAATAGCAGCAGCAGACGCGTTTTCTCCATTCGTGACCGTCTCTCTTTGCAGTCTCTTAACGGATTCTATAATAGCCGTTGATCTTGACACTGCTTGACCATCTTCTTCAACATTAACACCTGTTCTTGCTTGCTTAAATGGCCTTAATGAACTCAAAGAATTCCCTTCCTCATTGCTCAATCTTCCATCTCCTAAATTATGAGAAGAGAAACATCCAATTTCATCCTGCATTCATCAAAAATATTAAATTCATTAACCAATCCCAAGCTTATAATCCAATAAAAGGAAGAAAAAAGAAAAAAAAATCCCAAGATCCACTAATTCTATAATTAATGAGAGAGGGAAAAAAAAAAAAAGAACTTACATCAGAATCAAGATCAACATTACTCTCTCGCATCCGTTTCAAGAGCCCATTTCTACCAGGACAAGAAATCTCTTCTTCACTACTAGAAGAACTAGCCATAGGTGGCACATGTGATGATGATGATAAAGTAGGACCTGACCATGGCACCACCTGGTTATCTCCATCTCCCTCGTCCTCCTCCTCCCCCTCATCTTCATCTTCATCGTATTCATCACTGTCATCGTCATCGAATTCTTGATCATTTTCAGACTCATCTAAATCATTCCCTGCTTCTTGACTTTCTTGATCACTAGTCATGATGTTTTGAGCTTGGATATGTCTTTTATTGTTATGGATAGTAAAACAAGACTCGCATATGGAAACAGTAGGAACAAGTTTAGACCCTGAGGATTTCCAAGGAGTTGGAGATTGACAGACTTGACAAAGAAGGATTCTGCAATGTTTTGCAACAAGAAAGTTGGCAGAGTGTACTTTCTCATCACAATCCCAACACAACCTAGCTTGGTCTGATTCACAAAACATTCTCGCCGAATTCCCACACAGCTCACACCCTTTCATTCTGTCTTCTGTTTTTCTATCTATGTCTTTTTTGGTTTCGGGTTTGGTGATTTTTCAGGGAAAGGAAAGGAGGCTTTGAGAAATGAGAGAAAGGATAGATGTGCAAGTTGTAGTGAATGATGGAAACTACCCTAATTTTTAGCATTTAATCAGGGGATTTTTTTACGAGGGGGTTTTGGGAGTTTTATTAGGAAGTTTAGGATTGGTGTTTGACAAAAATCTGACTGGCTGGCCGCTATGCAGCATCTACGAAAGACTTTGCTTTTGGGATTGGAATTTGGGGTGTCAATGAGGCAGATAACCACATGTTTAATCCACTTTAATATATGCCATTTCTTGGAAGTAGCATGACCACACAACTTTTATTTTGCGTAACAAATTTGGAGTTACTTAAGCCTCCCTTGATTCCTAGATTTGACTATTCCAATCGAAATATTACTGTAAAGCTTGGATTAATTTAAGTTTTAGCAAACGGATTATTCATGCAATCGAAGTTACTTATGAGGGATTTTTTTTTTCATAAAGAAATGAGAGGTTACAAAATTCCAATGGTGCATTTAGATTTTTTTTACTCATTAGCTAATAGTAAACGCTAATAAAATATGATTAAAAAAAAACTCTGAAAATACATATAAATCGTTGGATTATGATTTTGATGTGGAATCCAATTATAAATTTTATTAATGTTACAGCTCATTTTTGTCTTTCAAGTTTATATATATAGTATTGTCTTAATGTTTAGCATTACTCTTAAATATGAGATATTACTTTTAGGAGAAAAATTCAAACAAAAATTAACTTTTTATCTAAACTTTTTTTAATAGAAAGTATGAAATTTTATTAATATTGAAAACAGTAGATAGTCATTGCAATTTTTATTACAAGTATCATAATCGATTAAAATCAAGTGAAAAAAACTTGGTCATTAAAGCAAAATAATAATAATAATAATAATTGAAATTTTGAATAGCATCTCGTTTTTTCTATTTTACGATTTTTCAAATATATGTATATATATATATATATATATATATATATATATATATGAGTTTTTCCTTTTTTGATTGTTTACGGTTTGACTTCTTTTCAAATGTCTCAGCAAAATAAAATAAATCAACAACACTTATTAATGAAAAAATGGATTGCATTGAAAGTAGCAAATTATGCTGAAGCCTTTCTTTATTGACAGATTTAAAACTATACTACTTAAAATCTACTTAAACCATAAATTCATCCTTCAACTCATCATAAATTTTATATAAACCCACGTTCAATACGAATAAATAATCAAAAAATCTCATATATTGAGAACAACAAACTAAATAAAATCACAAATTTTAGATCATATAGATATAAATTCATAGTTATTGGAACTATTATAAACATGAGATCTCATAATTAAATCTAAAATTAGTAAGGAAAAAAAAACGAGAGAGAGAAAAAGTAGCTATTGTGGATGATTATTGTGGATGATTATTTCATCGAGGGATAATTGCATTATGAATACACTAACTTTCAACACTTTCTTAATAAAATACATGAATTTTATTTTATTTTTTTGTTTGAGTACACTATTTTTTTCTTCAAAATTGTCAATTAAGTATTCCTATCAATTTTTTTGTTAATCGACGACACTCTTATTACCCTAGAAATATTAAATTATAATTTTGCTCTTAATTTTTTTAGTAGAGTACACGAACTTTAATTTTTGTGTTTGAATCTACTAAACTTTTCAAAACTCGCTAATCAAGTATTTACGTTATTTTTTTTATTAATTGACAATGTGTTTGAATGCCAAATTATATTTTTTTCTCCTTTGTTAGAAGAAAATTTCTTCCTAAATTATTCTACTTTTTTTAAAATTTAACAAAGAATTAAAAAAGTAAAGTTATTGTTAGTTATAAAATCTTGACCTAAACTCGGTTAGACTTATTATTAAAAAAAACTCAATTAGGTTTTGGATATGAAAGTTGAAAGAAATACAAACGTGAGATTTTTCATTAAAAAGATTTATTTGTATTTTCTTTCAATTTTCACTCTTAAACCTAACCGAGTATTTTTTTTTTAACAGACAACCTAACTAAATTTACTTTGAGATTTTATAACAAAAAATAATATATATTTTAATTCTTTATCAAATTTCAAAACAATAAAATTAATAATTTGTAGAGAAAGTTTTCTTGCATAGAAAGAAAGTAAAATTATAATTTTGTATTCGAATATATTATTAGTTAATGAAGAAATTAATAGGAGTATTTTATTTTAAAAAAGTTGAAGTACTTAAGCAAAAAAAGTTAAAATTCATATTTAAAAAGGATAAAATTATAATTTAGTATTACAATCATAACAAATACGTCACTAATTAATGAAAAAAAAATGATAAGAGTACTCAATTAGCAGTTTAAGAAAAATAGTATATCAAAAAAATTATATACTTAATTGAAAAAAATTAAAACATAGCATAATTATAATATAATTATTCCTTTTATAGATCACAATTAAAAAAAAAAATCAATAGAAAGGGTTTATGGAAAGAGGAAAGAGAGAAAGAGCGCGTCCATCCTTGTGTTTAATTAATTCCGGAAACAAATTGAATCGACCTGACTTAAATTTTACTAGTTTTAGATCCAAACTCCTACCAACTTTTAACTCAGATGTTTGATTTGATTGCAAACTTGCCATTAAAAAATCTAGTCTATCAGCAAAAAATCGATTTAAATAAAAAAAATTCTAATTATTTAGATGAATGATCATAAATTTAAATTTTTATATATAAAAAATTTTATAAATAATTATTTTCGTTTTATACCTTTCATAAATTAACGAAGGATTAACCTTTGATGTTTAGGCTTGGAATGTCTAGTAGGATCCCAAAAAAAATATTTAGCCCGTTAGCCCGTCCTTCCACCATCTGTCTCCAAAAAATATGTACCAAATCTGTTTATATGCTTTTGGTAATTTACATTATCATATAAGCGATAGAAACTCAAAGCTCTATCTTAAACTAATTATGCAACCCTACTTGTCTGCCACGTTTCCCATGAATTATGGAGCTAATTAATATAGGTTGTTTTTTTTTTCTAGGGGCCATTAATTAAGAGAATTAAATATATTTTAGTCCCCCAAGATCTTTTTCTGGTTTCTAAGAAAGAAATGATGAGGTGTCAAGAACGCGGTATGGGCCGGCAGATTCCAATCTATCCTACATGGACATATCTGGTCCATCACATCTACTAACCCACGTGATGCTCACCTGCCCTTTTCATAATCTACGGCCTAAGTGGGCGGTGGGCCCAATCCATAGTATGCTTATCCAACCCTCTCTACTTTTCTCATAATATAATGCTTTCTTTTCTCTTACCACCTTTTTTTTTTTTTTTCGCCTTCAAACGTAACGCTACTTTTAAAATGAACGGTTGAAAAAAAAATATATATTTTTTTTCAGAAGCCAATGAATTGGGATTGTTACCATTCCGCTATTCATTAAACTAATCGTTTTGGATTGAATGAATCACAAATATTATTTTTAATTCAAATCTGCTAATTTAATTGATATCGATCATATATCTTTAGATATTCTTTCAATAAATAGATAGATGATATTAAAAAATAATATTTCATCACAATTATTTATATAAGAATTGATATATTTTTGAGGGATCTTTTTATTGACATATCTTCTCATAGATATAAAACCAAAATTATAATGGGAGACAAAAATTCACTCATGTTGGTAAGAACTTTGGGTCCTTTAGACAAGATAACTTTTGAGCATTTTTGTGTTGTTTGCTTACCATTTTATCGCTAGCTATTTTATTAAGGAATATCAAACGCTAAAAACTTTGCTTCAACCCTATTTGCTTTGAGAAAGGAAAAGTCATCAGCATGGTGTACGTCAAATTGTTTTGTAGTATACGGAACTGATTTATAACCAAACCAACCTTAGGTTTTCGTTAATAACTTTTCCATTAAATCCTGTTTGCATATGGTCATAATGAATTATTTGTACACATTTGTTTGGATCTATAAAAATGTAGAGGCCCAAGAAATGTATGGGCAGGAAGTGATTTTAATGGGACGGGGTCGTGGCACAACCAGGACCATGTCTGCTGTAATATCCATAAACTTTTTTTTTATTTGATAAATAATTCATAACGCTTTTTAAATGGAAGAAATTGCAAGGTTGTGCTGACATGGCAAAACCCACGTGAAGTATCCTACGTGGCACATGGTGGAGTGTGGGAAATCGGTGTAGCTTTTTGATTACTTGCAGCCACTAACTAGCATGGGAATACGTGGAAAAGAGAGAAATGATGGTGTAGGGGAGAAAGAATAGATTAGGGTTCTCTGTATCAAGACACTGTTTCTTTTAGGGAGACCATCCATCCTCAATAAAAAGAAGGGAGGGACTAAGGAGAAGAGGGTGACGGCTGTAGTGATGTTCTTCTGTGAGCCCCACGCAGCAGTCCTTATCAAAATGTGTCCGTTAACACTCAAGAGTAGAAGGATATGTGGGGTAGGAGGAATCATAATCAATCCAAATTAAGTTATTATAAAATGTGTCCGTTAACACTCAGAGTAGAAGGAATACGTGGGGGAGGAGGAATAATAGCCAATCAAAATTAAGTTAGGTTATGATTTCACAATTTCACTAGAATTATATGTAGAATTAGATGCGTAAAATCAGCAATAATGCTAGTCATTTAGTTTTGATTTCTAAAGTGGAACAATCAATGTGTGTTTGTGATGGTTGTGAGTTAGGTGTCTTTTTTTTTTTTTAAATAATTTATTAAGTTCTGTTATGCTTGTAATACCTAACATGCTTGGTTATGAAATGATGTATTGTGTTGTGAGTAAAATCACTTTGCTATTTAATGATTTATTTTTGTTTTGTTTGAACTAAAATTATCATAAAAAAAACATAACTTCAAGATTTTTATTCAAAAATAAAATAAAATACGTGAAAATATTAAAATACTTTCATTGTTAAAATAAAAAAT